TAATTGTTTTGTAAATAACTTAAAAATAATTAGAATAAATAGGTTTTATTACTAACTTAATTATATTTTATTTTTTCCTAAAATAACCAAAAAAAACCAAAAATAGGTCATTTTATTATTTTCATTAATTAATTTAAATTAGCTAATTAATTGGTATATTTATTTTTAAAACCTAGTTCTTTTCTTTCATAAATATTAAAAACAACAAAAAACATTTTCTCTTTTCATTAGGATAGAAGGGTCAAAACCCTTCTTCGCATTCATTCTAATTTTCATCGCGCGCTTTATTATTATTTTTATCTATATTGATGTAACTGCCTACAATTTGTAATAGTTTAATTAGGACGTTTATTTCCATTTATCGCTTTACTTTTCAAGGTTTTGTTTTTGGCTATGTAAATACCCGAAGCCTTGTAATAGCGTTAGTTTAATTTCCGCACTTTAAATTCCACAAATTATTAACTGTTAGATGTATGATATAGGGATGCATGACAAGAACGTATGATTAATTTTAAAACAGTTAGATCACCCTAAATGTGAAAAGATAAATAAACTGGAATTGAATCACTCGCACATGCGCACTCCTAGGGTACACTCCCACTTGGTTTCCTTTGGTAAACGGTCATTGAGTATATGATGCTTTAGTGGTCGTCCTTTTGTCTAAAGATCAAAGTTGCCTCGGAAAGGTTGCCTCGGAATTGTTGCCTCGGATAATTGATCTAAGACATTAGGGTTACTACTAAGACGTCCTAACAATTGCTTTAGTGACTAACGTCCCTTTCGAATTGACCCTCAAAACTCCAACGACGGTGCTACCTACTCACTAATAGTGGGATAGCGCTGTCTAAAGGAAACAAACATAGAACGATTCTTTTTTAGAGTAGGTAGATTAGTTCTTAAGTACTTGGTCAATCAAAACAAACTTTTTTCACACTTACACTTCTTTACAAACAATGTTTTCAAAAACACTTCATTACACTCTTGAAGACAGACGCAAGAGTTAAATCGAAGTCAAAACATAAACTTTTCAAAGTACACAAACACAAAGAAAACAATTTTAAAAATGATGAGCAAGTACCTAAGAGCCCGGGGAAAACCACGGATAGAAAGGGTGCTAATACCTTCCCTTTCTATAATCTACCCCCCGTACTCAAAAATATCTCGAAAAAGGAATTTTTCTGTGCTTTTTTCCTTTCCTTGTTGGATAAAATAAAAGACGGTGGTGACTCTTACTTACCGCGACATTTTGTGAACACAAACGCAAAACGCAAACCAGCAATTCCTTAAAAAAGGGAAACACGTCCCGGTTCTGGCCACCGTATCATAAGGTGTTACATTAGTGGTATCAGAGAAAGTCGGTTCGTCTGGCCAAGTTATCGAGTCGTAGTTGTTTAACAATCGAGTATTATTAGTTTTTCGTAACCGTTGTTTGTATTGAAGTGATAAGGTAAGATGGCTGGAAGGAACGATGTTGCGATTGCTGCTGCTCTGCAAGCGATGGCTCAGGTTGTGAAGAATCATCCTAATGCTGACGAGAATGCTGGATCTCGTAGTTTGACCACTTTCCAAAGGGAGAATCCGCCGATTTTCAAGGGTAAGCATGATCCTGATGGAGCACTAGATTGGTTGAAGGAGATTGAGAGGGTCTTCCGTATGATGGATTTCACTCCAGCATAGAAGGTTCGGTATGGCACTCATATGCTAGCAGTTGAAGCTAATGACTGGTGGCTAGAGATGCGTGCAAGGTTAGAGGCTGCAGATGAGGAAATCACTTGGATTGCGTTTTGTAGGGAGTTTTTGAGGAAAAATTATCCTGAATATGTTCGGGGTAAGAAAGAGATTGAGTTCCTTGAGTTGAAGCAAGGGGATAAATCCATCACTGAGTATGCTGCTAAGTTCATTGAGCTAGCTAAGTTCTATCCACATTTTGACGGTGAAGGTGATGAATTTTCTAAGTGCATCAAGTTTGAGAATGGGCTGCGCTCGGAAATCAAGAAGGTTATTGGATATCAGAAGATTCATGTCTTTTCTGATTTGGTTAATAGTTGCAGGATCTTTGAAGAGGATAGAAATGCTCATCACAATATTGTTAATGATAAGAGAGGCAAGAATCAATAGAACCGTGGCAAGCCTTATGATATTGGTAGAGGTAAACAAAAAGTTGCTCATGCTCAGAGGACTAGTGGGGGAGATGCTCTTGCTAGAGTTGTATGTTTCAAATATGGGAAACCTGGTCATAAGAGTAATGTGTGCACTACTGCTGATGTGAAGAGGTGTTTCCGTTGTGGCAAGATTGGACACATAACTCCTGAGTGTAGGCATAAGGCAAATGTCTGTTTCAATTATGGTGAAAAGGGGCATATTAGTACTCAGTGTCAGAAACCAAAGAAGGCACAAACTGGTGGTAGGGTGTTTGCTTTGGCTGGGACTTCGACAACTAGTGAGGACAAAATCATCAGAGGTACATGGTTCATTAATAGTATGCCTTTAATTACTATTATTGATATTGGTGTTACTCATTGTTTTATTGCTGCTAATTGTGTTGAAAGATTGGGTCTTGTGTTGTCTTCTATGAATGGAGAAATGGTCGTCGAGATTCCGGCTAAGGGATCAGTGACTACTTCTCGTGTGTGTTTGAATTGCCCTTTGTCGATCTTCAGCAAAGACTTTGCTGTTGACTTTATTTGTTGACCGTTAAGCGGATTGGATGTGATCTTGGGTATGAACTGGTTAGAGTATAACTATGTTCATATAAATTTCTATAAAAAATCCTTGAGGTTTTCTAATCCTGAAGAGGAAGAAGTTGGTTTGTTTAATGGTAAACAGTTGCGGCAATTGATGCAAGAAGAAGCGCAGATGTTCTCGTTGATGGCTTCGCTATCTATTGAGAACCAAGTTAGGATTGATGAGTTGTATGTGTTGCACCCCAAAATTCTGCCTCCTAATTTCTTCTATCTGGCTTAGACTCTTGCATTCATATGTATATATTCCATTACGTCATTAACATACATTTATATTCAATAAAGCGCTTGAGGTTCAAAGTTCAGTGGTTGTGCGATATTAGGGTTTCACAACGGTTAAGGTGTTTGTATCCAATAAAGCCTAATTCTTCTGATTATCCTTCAAGCAGTGAAATGTGGAATTAGGATTGCAACCTATTCTTATTGAGGGTTCCGTTCTCTTCAAAGTTAAAGGGGTTATTACTCATTCAGATACATTCAAGACAAGAGTCAGAGTGTTTCTCAACCAAGTTTATGCTTGTCAACATTTCATCAACCAAGGTTCATTAGGCTTTCTAAGTCATAGCCATCTTGGTCATATTTCTTTATGTATTCCCATGTTCATTCCTAAGTTGTTCTACGAAGTCATCTAAGGGCTACTAAATCAGGCATTCATTATCTCCTTGTGCTCAACGTCATCCTTTGATTAGGGTTTATTTCTCTAAATCATGTACCATTCAAGAGAGGTTTCTCTGGGAAGTTGTGATTATCAGGCAAGGCTATCATCAGGGGATATCTTCCATGAATAACCAGGGTTTCAATTGATATGTCTTTGGCAAATAAGAAGGAAAGCATTGCTTTAATCTCTAGTCATGTGGGCAACAACTCTATTCTAGAAAAGAAGATTCAGTTGGACCTTCTTCACGAATTAGGGTTTATATGCCTTATAATGCAAAGCTCTTCATCTGGTCGGTTGGCTTACTTGCGATATAATCTAGTTTCTTCGGATTTCATTTCAATGATTTGAGATCAAAATCTAAAAGCTTTGTATGGAAGATTAGGATTTATATCCTATCATACTTGGGTTTATCAACATCTTCAATGGAGGTTCATGGGATGATAAGGCGTGATATAAGGATGGCATTGTAAATTCATTAAGATCAAGACAATTTGGTTCTCTTATTGTTTGTTATACGAGATTGATGGGGATCAACGTGTTGGATCCATTCTCTCACGAAGGGCAGAGGGTGATGTTAGGGACCATTTGGTTCATGGTCATCAATTGAAGATTGGGCTCACTTCATGGCCTATGATATAAGTCATTTGCTTTAGGGTTCATTCAAGAAGATGGAATTCTGATTACGGATTTTGCTTTGGATTATTTCAAGAGAAATATCATGGGAATTCAAGCTTTGTTCAAAAATTGGATTAAAGTTCATTTACCAAGCATGCAAGGTTAGAAAGGGATTCATGGGGATTTCTTGAGAAACAAGTTATTTGGAATTTAGAGCAAATATCAAGTTCATGAATGTACAAGGGGATTCAAGAATTATTCAAGGCTATTTCAAATTTCAAGATCGCAAATCCAAATTTCATTCACCATTCAAGTGACCATAATGTAAAATCACAAGTTTCAATTGGTTCAAGATTCAAAATTCCAAGTTTAATATTCATTATTCAAGTTTTACAATGTCTAAACATCATACAAAACCATACATCCAATTTACAAAAACCATGATTAGCTTGTCTAAACATCATACAAAAGAATGTACCACAAATTTTTGGTTTTAAATCTAAAAATCTAAACAGCCTAGCATCTTCATGTTTCCATGTTCGTGTCAAGTAACCATCTTCAAAATCCTCTTTCACTTAGCCCAAACTACAAACTGTTTTGCCTAGGTATTTCTTCAAGCCATATTCAATCTCTCATTTCCATCTTCTTAAATTTTCCTTGAACTCCAATTTTAAGCCTTCTTCTAATTGTAAGCTTCATCCTGTCAATTAACCAAGCAGTTTTGCATAACAATAATTCACTTGCAGACAAACTGGTTTCCAAACCAAAGTGGCTAAATTGGTTCATATCTGTTTCGATCTATGGCAAAAATAATCCAACTACACCTAACCAATTACATAACAAACTTCTAATAGAACTTCATAACAAAAAAAACCTTGCACCAATACAAACCTCCCCTAACTGTGGTAGTTGTTCTTCTTCTTGCTCCTACAACTCAAATTCAACATCTTCATTCGCATCACTCACACCCAATTTTGGAAATTCAAATGGACTTGTCTCACTCTCAATGGATCCAACCCTTGGTTACTGTCTCTGTTGGTTCCTTCATCGCATTCAGAGCTCACAAAAAATTCCCTCAGCACTTCTGGTGCTTTCGCCGGTTTCTTTGTTTTGTCGCTTCACATTTTTATAGGATTCAGAAGGGACAAGATAAGAAACAGTTAATTGATCCTGAATTCAAAATAGGTGGACAAAGAAACTGGATACAAGTTCTGTCCAATAGTGGTATTGCCTCTGTTCTGGTTGTAGCTTTATGGGTTTTAACGGAAGGGAAGGATTATTTCTTGAATTCTAAAGACTCGCCTCTGATTACTGCTATTATTGGTGGTGTTATTGGCCATTACTGCTGCTACAATGGAGACACCTGGTCTTTAGAGATTGGAGTTCTCAGTGATGACCGTCCTCGTCTTATCACAACCTTTAAGCATGTTAGGAAGGGTACAAATGGTGGTGTGACAAAAACAGGACTTCTAGCAGCTGCAGGTGGTGGAAGTGTTATTGGACTATCATATTTCCTTTTAGAACTTTTGACAATCGGGTGTGGGTTTTATAGAGTTCTCAAGTAACTACTGGTCATACCCATCGCTACCACGGCAGGACTAGGTGGGAGTATCATAGACTCACTATTTGGTGCAACGTTACAGTTTAGTGGATTCTGCTCAATTCGCCAGAAGGTTGTTGGCAAGCCAGGACCAACTGTTGAAAAGATTCCAGGTCTGCACCGAATTTGAACCCAAATACGACAGCCCTGCTATGTTCATAAACATAGTTCAATAGTCCTCAATTTTGGAAAACTCAACTACAAATCATCCCTGCATTTAGTTCATACCAGAAATCAGAAAACAACGAAAAAAGAAAAGAAAGTCAATGACTAAGCTACATTCACGACAAAGAAAAACCAGAATATAAAGAGAATCAGAAGCAGGTTCATCAGGACAAAACTCCAACTTTGCTGTCAATTTTGAATTCCTACTGCTTTTTCGTTCAACTATTAACTTTCTTACATCTTTAATCTTCAATTACCCAAACATCCAAAATCTACAAAAACCTGCTATATAATCTGACATCCAAAGCTGCCCTGCATACGCATATGAACGTAATCAATTTAAACATTAACACCATAAATCGTTCACACCAGTTCATACATGAATTAAACCATGTTGTAGCCCTGTCCAAGTAATCTAAAAACAGGCAGAAGTGCAAAAATATCGAAAAAGAAGAATACAGGGGAAGTTTTACATCAGAAAATTAGGAGAAAATATAAAACTCAAGAGAAAATAGTAAGTTGTAAAAATATCAGTAATTCAAAATAGGAAATCAGGAAAATTAGAAGTAATTGCATCTCATCATAAAGTTAGTTTCATTTGCAAGCAAAAATCAGGATTAAATCCCACCGTCAGTTTGTAACTAACTTTTGAACCCAAAGGCTCTAATTACTTACATGTAACAAACTTCATATGATATAACAGAAATTCTTAACTGTTCAAACTAACCACTGTCAGCTCATACAAACTGTCCATAACAACTAACAGAAATCACCTAACAGAATTTCTAATTTCTCATCACTTAACAGAAACTCAACAGAATTCTTCAAGCAACTAACTAACTTTTTTCTAACTCTGTAACTGACTTTTAGCAAACATAGGACTAACAAATTTCAGTTCAAAACTCTTAACAGAAAAACTAACCTTTAAACAGATATAACAGATTTTCTACTCAGTTAAAAGGGGGTACGATTCATTCACAAAAGAGAGAACTATCAGAAACTCACCAAAGAAAAGCACTCTCTCTGAAATCTCAGAAATCTCTCTGAACCTTCTTTCTCTCTTCTCTCTTCATCACCTTCACGATTCATTCTTCATTCTACCGAAGAATCACAAAAAACACTCTCTCTTCTCCTCTCTTCTTCATCTTCATCGTTCTTCAATCACTCCTCTCTTCTACCGCAGTCTATAACCTTTAACACATTCTTGACGCCACTGCAACTTCTTCAATCTTCAGCGCATCTTCATGTAGCTTCAACTTTCGATTATTATCGTTCTTCATCATCTTCAAGGTTCAACAAACCTCCAATCATCTTCTCTCTCTGCACTAACAGCTTCAACAACATCACAATCCGCTTCGAATATAACAAACAGAGAAACACAAAAGATCTCAAAGATGAAGAAGATTCAAAAATGCAGAAAACAAGGCATATATAAGAAGAATCAAAAGATCGAAGTACAAACCTGAGCACTAAAGAACAATCATCATCATCCTTGAAGAACCTTCAGAGATTTTCCAAGAAGTAAGCCTTCAAATTCCTACCTCCTCTCATATTTTTCCTTGACTCTTGATACTGTGATGTAGAACAAGGTTATCCGAAGTTGGACCCTAAGGTTTCATGATCAGAGGCCTCACCGATAGCGTTAATCTAACTTCGTAGTTTCGTAGGGTTCGTCTTTACGCCTAGATTAGAAGATATTGAGAAGACATTCGACGAGATGAGTACTAGACTCGGATAGAGGAAGAGAGAACGAAGCTTGTGATGGTGTTAATCCATGCTACTAGACGGCGGCACTGTCGGTGAGTTCTCTCATCGGAAATCGTGAGAGAGAGATGAGGAGAAGTCTGTTGCACGAAGAAATTCGAAGAATCACAAACATATTCTGAACCTTAGCCAAATTGGATCAAGGGTGGACCGAAAATCCCTCATCCTCCGACCAATGATCATTTTTTTTGTAGCCCTTGTATCATGCACAAAAAATTATTATTAGATTCATTTTGCTGGGCTTATCACCAATTCATTTGCTTTCAGCATACCTCCAGAATTCCAACCTGAACCCCTTGGACTTGTTTTTTTTTTGGCTATTTGCAATTTCTTTTGAATAATTTTGTTAATAGTTTAGACTTGTTTTAATTTTCTTCACATGATAAAAATAATAAAAATTAGTAAAATTTGTTAGATTTTTTTATTTTGATTTTTAGGAATTAATTCGTGGTTATCCGATTATTCAAAATCCGTGATTCACCTTTGCTTGTTGAGATTTAAATCTTATGCAGGTTTATTATGCGATATGCGGATACGCTTGAAATTCCGATTGTGATTTATTTTCACATCGATGGTGCTTTAACACTTATTCCGAGCATTGGATTTCTAACTCTTTTCTTTGTTGATGCTAGCAGCTCGCGAGATCATCGGGTTTCTTTACTTTTTGCTTTGCTCTACGGGCTAGTACTCGTTTGGTATATTTTCTTTCTACGTTCACCCCGCATTTATCGCTTCCTATAGATTGTGTGAAATGTGATAACATTAGGCTTAGAAATAGGCTAGTCTCCCTTTTACTTTTCTTTCGCCTTTTACATTTGCACTAAAACAAAAACTTCTTTTTTACAAACTTCAAAAAATACTTTAAAAATGTACAGACGAGAATCGTGCCTTTGTTGAACATGGGAGATGATAAGCGGGTCTCTTCTCGATCTTATCATTTTTCCATTCTAAGCCTTGGCACGGTTCAAGTCTCAAAGACTCATTTCACAGATAAGTAGAGAAATGGCTAAAATCTCTCCCTTGAGGTCAATTAGCTGTTATCTACAAGCAAACACACAAACCAATTCAAACTTTTTGTGTGCCCAAGCACCTTTTCTCCAAAACATTTTCAAAAGAGCATGTTAATTCACTTTGTGCTGACGTGTAAGTCTCCAAAGGTCGAGTTGCGACAGAAGGCGAAATTAATGTTGTTCATTAAAAAATATAAACCAACAAAAACATGTAAGCCGAACTACGGCTGCTCTGATTCCTTAAAAGGGATACGTAGGCATTGGGGTAGGGCCCGAACGAGCACAACTTTTATTTTCCCTACATTCTTTTTCTCATTTCTTTTGCATGCATTCCCTGTACAGTTTAGATATAGATTAAACACACCCATAAGATAGACAACAAGAGTGGATACCATAGAGTACTACGGGCGTGTGGGGTGCTAATACCTTCCCCTCGGGTAACAGACTCCCTTACCCGATCTCTCGGTCGCAAGACCGTGACTTCTCCATTCTCAGGTTTTCTTGATGTTTACATTTCCCTTCCTGTGGGATAAAAGACGTTCGATGGCGACTTCATTGTTTGATGATTTTCAGCCGATTGTTTCAGCAGGTGGTGCAAAAATTTCCTGAAGTGTTTCCTGATGAAATTCCTGATGTACCACCAGAAAATGAAGTTGAGTTTGCGATTTATCTTGTACCTAGTACCAGACATGTTTCTATGGAACCGTACATGATGTCTGCATCTGAGTTGTCTGAATTAAAGAAGCAGTTATAAGAGTTTCTTGAGAAAAAGTTTGTAAGACCAAGTGTATCGTCGTGGGGAGCGTCTGTGTTGTTAATAAAGAAGAAAGATGGAAGTATGAGACTTTGTGTCGATTATAGACAGTTGAATAAAGTGACGAATAAGAACAAGTATCCGCTTCTGAGAATTGATGACTTGATGGAATAATTGGTGGGTGCAAGTGTATTTTCTAAGATTGATTTGAGGTCAGGATATCACCAAATTAGAGTGAAAGAAGATGATATTCGGAAGACCGCATTCAGAACTCGGTATGGACACTACGAGTATTCGGTGATTCCTTTCGGTGTTACTAATGCACCGAGAGTATTCATGGAGTACATGAATCGTATCTTTCATACTTATTTGGATCAGTTTGTGGTTGTATTCATTGATGACATTCTGATTTACTCCGAATTAGAAGAAGAACATGAAGAGCACCTAAGAGTTGTATTACAAGTTTTGAAAGATAAGAAGTTGTATGGGAAGTTGTCCAAGTGCGAATTCTGGTTGCATGAGGTTAGTTTCCTTGATCATGTCATTTCTGGTAGTGGCATTACCGTGGATCCTTCTAAAGTTGATGTTGTGTTGCAATGGGAAGCTCCAAAGTTGGTTACCAAGATTAGAAGCTTCTTGGGATTAACCGGTTACTATAGATGGTTTATCGAAGGTTTTTCTAAGTTGGCACTTCCGTTGACCAAGTTGCCTTGTAAGGGTAAAGCCTTTGTATGGGATAGTCGATGTGAAGAAAGTTTTATCGAGTTGAAGAAGAGGTTGACGTCGGCTCCGGTTTTGACTTTGCATAATCTGGGAGATCTTTTGTTGTGTATTGTGATGCTTGTCTGATGGGGTTATATGGTGTACTCATGCAGAATAGTAAGGTGGTTGCTTATGCGTCGAGGCAATTGAGGACTCATGAAAATAATTATCCTATGCATGATTTAGAATTGGTTGTAGTTGTCTTTGTGTTGAAAATCTGGAGGCATTATCTTTATGGTTCTAGATTCGAAGTGTTTAGTGACCATAAGAGTTTGAAGTATCTTTTTGATCAGAAAGAGTTAAATATGAGGCAACGAAGGTGGTTATAATTGTTAAAGGATTATGATTTCGGTTTGAATTATCATCCAGGAAAAGCTAATGTTGTGGCTGATGCTTTAAGCCGAAAGACTTTGCATATGTAGATAATGATGGTTAAAGAGTTGGAGTTGATTGAGCAATTCCGAGATTTGAGTTTGGTTTGTGAAGTGACACTGCAAATTTTTATGCTGGGAATGTTAAAGATTAATAATGACTTTCTCAACAGTATCAACGAGGCTCAAAAGCTATATGTGAAGTTGGTGGATATGATGATGGGAATCGATCGATCTGAGAATGATGATTTCAAGATAGATGCGTAAGGTGTGTTGAGATTTCGAGATCGTATTTGCATTCCTGATGATGAAGAGATTAAGAAAGTGATTCTTGAGGAAAGTCATAAAAG